GTTACCACAATACTGTTCAAACACTTGCTTCGGGACCACCAAACAGTGTTACCACAATACTGTTCAAACACAATGATTTTAACTTTATATTGGTTTTCTGCAGCTATAATCTTAAGTTTTGAAAAGCAACTTTACTCTTGTCTTGCCTTTTACAAACATTTTCCATGTTTCTGTGTGTACTCAGAACTATTTTAGATCAAGTTGGTCCCCATTCCTACCTTCCTCTATCTGGATATTTAGATCAACTCAGTATTGTTCTGTTGCTTTAGAATCACATTTTACAACCTAGATATTTATGCCTTTAGTGACCTAGTATTTTGGCCTCACCTGAAAATTGATCGGTGGTGGCGGATTCTTAGGTTCTATCCTTACCACGCTAGACTCCACCTTGGGGGGCGGTCTGAAGTTATTCTTCCCCACCTGTTAATCAGAAAATGTTTAGTCCTCTCTGAGGCAACTTTATTTACTTCTTGTTTGTTTTGAAACAGAGTCTGACCATGTAGGTCTGACAGGCCTGGAACTCACAGAGATTTTTACCCCTTTGCCTCCTGCTTGCTGGGATTAAAGGTGTGTGCTACCATAACTGGCAAGGGTAACTTTTAAGTTGTTAATCAAAGATAGTCTGTTGGCCAGATACGGTGTGACTTAGGCCTTTAACTCCAGCATTGGGGAAGCTGATGGTTCTAGGCTAGCCTGAGTTAAAGAACAAGACCCCCATCTCAGAAAGGGGGTGTGATGGAAAATGGGGTCTCAGAGAGCAAGGCAAAGTGCTCCAGGATGAATTAAAACAAAATAAACCTCCTACCTTCATTAGGTGGTCCACGCGCGCTAAAAGCTGTGTATTGATGGAGAGTCTACAGTATAATTTATCTCCCGGCTTGGCAACCAAACGAAGAGCAAACTCTCTTTGAAACATAAGTATAGCACATCTGAAAAGGAAGCAAAACGGAGCAAGAAGAATCGTTCATCTTCAATTATTGACATAGTTTTGATTAAAAATTTGTATTGTTTTTTGTGTATCTGAGTGTTTTGCTTACATGTATGTATTTTCACTGTGTGTGTGGATTTAGTGCCCATGGAGGTCAGATGTGGGCAGTGGATCTTGAGAACAGGAGTTAAAGCCAGTTGTTAGCTGCCATGTGGGTGCTGGGAATAGAACCCTGGTCCTCTGCAAAAGCAATATATGCTCTTAACCACTGAGCAATCTCCTGTCCTCTGCAAAAGCAACATTATGCTCTTAACCACTGAGCAATCTCCTCAGTCCTTATAGTTGTATTAACTACAGTGCATTGTCGTGAGAGGATATATGGTTAATGACAATATGATCAGAAGGCTGAACACTTTGAGCCTTAATGTTATTATCACAAAACAGATAGTTGTTGTACTCTTAGCCCCGATGAAGATGACTTTCCCTCGGGTTAGTATTTAGATCTTATTATGTACTTACTAGTCTAGGTGCCTTCTGGGGGAAAAATAGTAAAGGTGACTCCACAGAAGAACTATATTTGTGGTGTAGTTGGAATTACATCTGAGGTATGGCTTGGTAGGTTGTAATGTCCAGTGTTCCCTTGGTTTAACAATTTAAAGTATGTGGGTTTTTTCTTCTGCAAGCAATGGTAATACTTTTAAATGTTAGTGAAGAGCAAAGCATTTTCCAAACTGTATTTGACTTGTTGTGTGTGCTGTACTGGGAATTGAAGCCAAGGCCTCATGCATGTGGGTAAATGCTCTCTCACTGAGCTTTGTCTCCAGTCCTACTTCTGATTTTGAGATCAGGGCTCACAACGTTGCCCAAGCAGGTCTTAAATTCACAATCCTCCTACCTCAGCCTTCAGTTATCTATGTATGTCTACATATCGCAAACAAAACTTTTATAAAACTTATATGCAGTTATCTTCTCATATGATCTATTCCGTGCCATTTAAAAGGGAAATGGGAGGGGTAAAGGCATGTTACCAAGCCTGAGTTTGAGCCCTGACAGCCTTCAAGTTGTCCTCTGACCTCTGTAAATGCAGGGAGAAACACTCCACACAAACACACAACTTTTTAAAAAGGATGGTTATGGCCCCCACAATTTATGAACTTATTTTATAAACAGTAAGTGGTATGTGACTTATCTTCAAAGAACTGGTATAAAAAATACTGTTTTAATAACCAGTTAAGAAGTTACTCCCAGTATCTAGACGTAAGAAAATTTTTTATCAATGTTTACTGAAGATTAGAATTTAAAATGTAGAAGGAATAGCATGCACACACATTTATCAGCCCAAAGAATTTATCAACTAAGAGACCTCCCTAGAAATCAGCACTTTCATATGTGTAGTCATTCATGTGTTATGTTTTTGAGAAAGACTATTAAAGGAAACTTTGGCTGGCCCTGAACTAGCTCTGCTCTGTGTCTGTGCTTGCGTGCCTGTGCGTGTGGTGCTCGTGTGTATTTCTGAGACAGGGTATCATGTAACCTAGGCTGGCCCTGAACTAGCTGTGTAAGCAAAGATGAGTATGAACTGATCTGCTTCCTGTTCACAAGTGCTTGGAATACCAGTGCTCACCACCATGCTGAGGTTTCTGAGGTGCTAGAGACTGACCTAGGGGCTTTCTGGATGCTAATAAGCACTCCATTTAACCAACTGAGCTACGTTCCTGTCCCAGAAATTGTTATTTTCTACAAAGTTCTCTGGCAGTTTTTTGTTGTGTTTATTTTTTGCTATGTTTCTGGCCAAAATTGTCTAAACTTTAGCAGTGACTGTTTTGCACAAACCTGAAAAATGGCCGGTGGAGCAGCAACTTGAAGACAAAGGGAGAGGAGATCTAAAAGAGAATTATAATTAGCTCTGAGGAAAGACATATCAGAGAAATGTTTAGTACGATGCTTCTGATAGCCTCCTGAGAAATACCTGATAAGGCAAGTTTGCCACACAAGCATCAAAGAATGGCAAATCCGATTTCAATACATCTCCCACCAGGACCTGGAGTTTGCTGGCCAGAGGCCTGAAAATAAGGAAAGAAATCTTAAGAGACTGTTGTTTCAGGAGACTGAAATGTACTTTAGTTATTACATATACTCACGTGCCCTGGACTCTTTTGTGAAGTTCAGCTACGAGCCTTGGATCGAGTTCACAGGCAACTACCTAGATTAACAATAACAAAAAAACCTTGATTGTGGAGTACAAATGTTTTACCATCCAAGTAATAACTCCTATGAGTTACGTGATTTAAGCTTTTTTCAATGTTAACATCCTGTTTGATCTGTCCCCATGTCCCCATGCTGCGTTACTGAGCCGGTGATGACAAGAATACACTTTATGTACTTAGTATTTTTAGACGCGTACAAGAGATCTGCTCCCACAAGTACTCTCAGCAGCTGACACCCGGAGCAGAAACCGTAACACTGCAAGCGAATGGAACTGGATGAAGCCGAACTATTTTCCGGTAACATCAGCAGAGGCTTCTCCGAGTGTCATGACTGTTTCTACAGCGCAGTCATTTGAGCTGCTTCTGCTGACTGACTCCCCGACCCACTCTTCGCCTTGGTCCTGATGACTTCAACTTCATGACTCTGTTCCTCCTGGCTTCACAATGGTTAACTAACTGCTCTTTGGGTTATCTCAGTGTTTCTATTTTATTATTACTCCTTTAAACATGTGACACATTCCTGTATTAGATCACCCACTATACCAAGTATAGATCTTGTTTTCTTGATAGAAAAAAAAATCTCAAATTTTAGAGATAAAATTTCTAAGGGCTCAATAACGACTACTGGAACAATGTCAATTTATTCAAACATTTACATTAGTAAACCAGCTGAGCTAATTTGAGAGTAACACTTGAAGCCCTCCCCTTTTACCTTTTTGGCCTTTTCTAACAGCTTGACAGTCATGTTACCAGTCCCAGGCCCAACTTCCAGCACCACATCAGTCGGTCTTAAAGCAGCCTAAAAACAAACACAACTCCTTTATGCTCTGGCCCACTTGACCACACAGTTTGTAAGTGACTTAAAGACATTTCCCTCCAGCTTCATTTTTCTTCTGGGTATATGTGGTTAACAGTCGTACCTCAAGGGCATTAGGTATAAATAAAATCTACATTTCCTAACCTAAGGGAATATACTCAACTTCTGGAGTCAGAAGAAAAGCAAGAGCAGGCAGGTCCACTGGTGAGCTCCTGCTTTCTACACTGGCACCAATTCCAGCAAACTGTAACTACCTCTGCTCCTTTCAAAGAGGTCAAATGGTAAAAGAGTGCGCTCAATGGAGAAGATTTCTCAGTTCTTTACCACTGTGTAGTTTTAAGAATACTGTAACCATACAAAACTCTAAGTGTGCATGTACATATGAGTAGAATATTCTGTGAGACTGGATAACTACCCTCTTTCCATGGCTCCAGAACGCTTTCCTTGTAAGTACAGAAATCATTTGTACTGTCTATATTTTACACTCAACCATCCATAACTGCAACACAGTAACACGTACAGAAGGAATAAATCCAAATAATTTATATGCAGTACCATTTAGTTTTCTGGGGAACAAACTCAGTGTGATTTGGACATAAATTTACTGTCTGGAATAAAGAGAGTAATGGTGATGCACTTAGAAAGTCATCAGAACGATACACGCTTGGAAAGTGGAGTCAAGGGGCCAGAAGTTCGCCGGGCGGTGGTGGTACATGCCTTTAACCCCAGCACTTGGGAGACAGAGGCAGAGGCAGGTGGATTTCTGAGTTCGAGGCTAGCCTGGTCTACAGAGTGAGTTCCAGGACAGCCAGGGCTACACATAGAAACACTGTCTCGAAAAAAAACAAAAACAAAAACAAAAACAAAAAAAGGGACCAGAAGTTCAAGGCTGGCTTTGTCTACATACCATGTTTGAGGGCAGTCTGAGTTACATGAGAACCAGTTTCAAAAACAAGGAGCCATCAAAAAGTGGTTAAACAATCTGGAAATCCCTGGGCAATTCTTAACTCATCCAACATATACATATAGAGCAACTATTCTATGTCAGGTATCCTATCTTAGTCTATTTTCATTTTCTTAGTATGTTCACAGACTTCGGTCGAGCATGTCACCTTGCCTCAGCCTCCCCAAATGCTGGGATAATTATGGGCACACAATATGTCATACAGGCATAAGTACTCAGAAAAATATTACCGATACACAAACACTCTGCCTTTCATTGTTTACACCCACCTTATCGATGATGCTGTTAACAATTAAAGGATTTTTCAAAATGTGTTGTCCGACCCCTGTGTTGAACATGAGTCCTGAAATAAAACACGAAGCAGCCTTAATTTCCCAACTTTTCAAGAATCGATCTCAGGCCGTCCCAGAGAAGCAGGACGGACGGGGAACAGTTTCTGCTCTAATGCATCCACAAGCGCCGCGTTCACGGCTGGGGTTGGGATGTATCTTTGAGTCCATCCATCCCTCCTGCTGGCAAGGAAGACCAGGCGCCGGGAAGGGTCAGCGCTGAGCGCCCACCCTCCTCAGAGCGGCTAGGGGCGCAGGCCACAGTAGGGCTCCCCCGCCGCGGGTCAGTCCCAAGCTTCCTCCACGCCGCACCTCCAGCTCGCTTCAGCTCCTGTCGCTGCTCCTGACGATCCCGCCGGCGGCTACTCGCTGCGGACTTGGCTTTCGGCATCTTCTCAGAGGAGTCCCTGGGACAAGCGAAAGCTGCTGGGAACCGCGTGGAAGTCGCCGTCAGCCGCCGTCACGCCCAAGCGCCGGAGAGGTCCACTTCCCCTCCCACTGCGATCACCGACCTACCCAGTCAGCGCCGCCTGGAGCCCAGTGGCTGCTGGGAATTGTCGTCTCCCGTGAGCTCCTCCGGAGGCAAGGACGGCTCGAGTCCAGTGGCTGCTGGGAATTGTAGTCTCCGGTGAACTCCTCCGGAAGCAAGGCCGGCTCCAGCCCGTCACACACAGGATTTTTGGAATTTTGGTATCAGCAACTACTTCCCACAAGAGCCCGATTTCCCAGAGGACACCGCGCCGCTCAGGCAGGCAGTTAGGATTGGCTGGGTCCAGGCAAACTGGGTGCTTCCTTCGGGCCTACCGTGGGATATCTGATGTCTGCGGAAAGATCTAAGTGTCTCTTTCCCGTTTCCCCGCAGGTTGTGGGCTGAGAAACCTAGGCTTGATGGACACGGAGCTTTGTGGTTAAGGGTAACGTGTCTCTCGGCTGTGGAAAGGAATTAGGAGATTAGAATTAGCTCTCGTTTCAACAGAGCACTTACTGGTTACTTCTCTCTGCATTTTCGTTCATTCTCTCGTCGTTTTACTAAGTTCCAGCACTGGGAGTCACAGCACTGGGATGCTGCTCTCGGTGTTTATTCATTGAAAGATAAGGGCTATAACAATTTCAAAACCCTATAAATGGGAATGATTATAGGTACGTATTGGATATTATAGTGGGACTATACGCCGGGCTGTAAGATTTAAAGACTCCTGGCAGTTTTTCCTGCCAGTTGTAATGTCTCAGTTTTAATTTTTCTGTTTGTGCTCTGAAGAAGGTCTATGTAACCAATCACCAAAGCTGACTGCTAAGAACCTGTTTCCTAACCTAGGTTTTAGTCCTTCCTTTCTTTGCTGTAATTCGAGCTCAGGAAAAGTTCTTTAAAAAAAAATCCTAATAGAATCTCTAATATTCTATCACCAAAGAACACTTGAACACTGCCTATGGGCCAGTTGAAAGCCTTTATTCCAGCCAGCAGGTGACTGCAGCTGGGTTTTCTGGACCGAAGTTCATTCATCTCTGAGCCTGGAAAGTCCTCAAAGTTCCCATCCGCAAGCTAAGTACATAGTTACAAAAGCCAAAATAAGCGATTAGCAAAAAATTCTGGAGTTGTTTTTCTTTCTGGAATTGTTTTTCTTAAGCTTCCCCTTACAGTTACTGGCACTCAACAATACAGAGTTCCTCCGAGGTACTAACATGAAGTCAGAACATAACATCATCACTGCTTTTTAAAATAGCTTATTTTTCAAAAGGGGAGGTGCACAATCTTACACACCTAGTAATACCCCAGACTCCTGGGCTACCTCCTGGGGGCACAAGACTTCTGTTCACTATAGCAGCAGCACTTCGAATGCTGGACTTCACACTAGGCACCAATGCTGATGGCGAGACTATTCTGAAAGGCCTTCAGTTCATTTTCCAGGAGCATGGTCACTGCACACCTAGAAGGACCACAACAATTAAGCAACCTACATACACAAAAATGGCAGCTTTGGCAATTTGAGAGTTTATCGACATGGACTGGCGTGCCTGGGCTGTCAGCATTATGACGGTGATGAACAAGACAAGAAACTGACAGCTTTTTGAATAAAATAGAAGCAAAAAATGAAAGAAATGAATCAGGACAGTAAAGGGGTTGGTTCTGATGCTAAGGTCCCCCCAATTGGTTCTTGATCCATCACTGAAAATACCAGCAACCAATGACAGGATGGGGTGGGATGTGTGGGAGGACAAAGGCAGAATGGAGAGAGCTGGGAAAGAAGAAAGAAGAGTAGCTGCAGGAGATAACACCAACCAGCCATGTGAGTTTTCGGTTTTGAGCGGCCAATGGCCACTCTTTCCGATTATACCTGGAGTGGCAGGAGAGGTTTAGCAGTATTCAGTCATTGAGTTAGCAAAGTCATTTAAAGATTAACTGGTGTAGCCGGGCGGTGGTGGCGCCGCCTTTGATCCTGGCACTTGGGAGGCAGAGGCGGGCGGATTTCTGAGTTCGAGGCCAGCCTGGTCTACAGAGTGAGTTCCAGACTGCCAGGGCTATACAGAGAAACTCTGTCTCGAAAACAAAACAAAAAACAAAACAAAAAAAAGATTAACTGGTGTGAGTGTGTGTGTGCGAGTGTGTGTGAGTGTGTGTGTGTTGTTTTTTTATCCGTGGATTCAAGGGAATCTGGGTGGGGTCTGGTAGCACAGTCCATTCCCGGAGCTTAGGCAGGGTAGCAGAAGCTACACGCAACAGGACAGTACTTGGCAGGTGAAGCACATACAACCCATAGTTCAAGGCTAGCCCATAGATATTGAAGTGGTGCACAATGAAGATTTGACTTATCAAAACATTAAAATTCTGCACTGGAAGCATTATTTACTATAGCTTAGGCCTTAGCTGGCCACTGTTCAGCTAGCTCTTCTCACTTCATTAACCCAGTTATTCTAGTCTACATTTGCTACTTAGCCCTTGATCTCTTACTCAATCCTCGTATGCCTGACTTCCTCCATGTACTGATGGCGAATTCCTGACTTCAATCCTTCCCAGAGTTCCTATCTCTGCCGAGTGTTCCTGTCCTCTTCAGCCATTGGCTGTCAGCTCTTTATTAAACCGTTCAGAAGTGATGGACCCGAGTACAAAATACCAAGACAGGTGATGATCCCTAAAAATAACACCGAAGTCAGATAGTACTAAACTCTATGCAAGTATGGAAACCAACATTTAAATGATACAAAGACGACCATTAAACTGTGCACAAAAAGATTATCCCAACAATTTTTTAATGTTTAAAAAGCCAGTGGAATCTGTATGTTTTCATAAGCTACTATGGTGTTAAGTTTTTGAAAGCCAGCTGAAAGCAGAGAAAACAGTGAAATGCACTGCCCATCTAGAATGTGATTTTTTAAAAATTGCTTTTTTATTTCTGTGTGGGACCTTTGGGGGAGTTAGCTTTGCTTTCAGGAGACCTTTAATTTGGATGTTTGGGATAATAAACTATTGGTTCTGAAGAGAGATTCTTAACGGTGTTATGCTCTCCCCAATATTGACTTAAATGTAGAGTTTATAAGAAAGCTAAAATAAAAACTGCTTCACTTAAAATTGTAAAAGAAAAGTACGGGAGGGATGGCTTAGCAGGTCAAAACACTAGCTGGAAACTAGTCTTGAAATTTCTCCTCTCATTTCCACACACACAAAGGCACTTTCCCTGCATCCCCAGCTCTGGCCAACACACATACACACACACACACACACACACACACACACACACACACACACTTTCTTTTGAGGGGTGGGAAGGTTGGAAGTGACAAATACAATAACAGCACCCTAATTTGTATTCCAGGTACCGTGTAAATACATTACTACCCTTGTTAACTCTTCTAAACAGTTTTGTGAGGTAGAGATAGGTAGCATGTAGTTTTTGCTACCTCACTTTAAGCTCCAGGAGGACTGTGCTACCAGCCACACCCAGGTTTCCTTGGATCATTTTGATAAATAAAACAATTTAAAGCCGGGCGGTGGTGGCAAACGCCTTTAATCCCAGCATCTGGGAGGCAGAGACAGGCGGATTTCTGAGTTTGAGGCCAGCCTGGTCTACAGAGTGAGTTCCAGGACAGCCAGAACTACACAGAGAAACCCTGTCTCAAAAAACCAAAAAAAAAAAAAAAATTAAAGCAAATAAAGCGATTTAAATAAATATTAACTGATGAGACAGTGTTTCTCCTGCCTCCTGTTTTGACCTTCATGAGATCAGGCCTAAATTTCTATTGTCTGAGATAGGATAGGCTCCCTATCCCCTGTTTTTCAACCTAATTTTTGAAGATTGAAAGCCTCAATTTTTTATTATCTGTGTCTACTTATTGTATAAGCCTATTTCTAGGCTCTAATCTTGTCATACCAGGCAAAGAAATCCCATGAGCAGACCATGTTCAAAGATTTTGAGTATTTTCCCTGGCAAGACCTTTTAAAATCTCTCTAAAGCACTTTTTCATTTAATCTCTCTAACTTCTCCCTTTTGTGGTGCTTAATATCTTTGTAGATTTGAGAACATTTAAACAATAATCGTTTTATTCTATTTTATCCTTAAAAACAAATCAAATTTTATGTACCTCTTTTAATAATTCACTTGTAGTAAGTAGGCTGTTTACCATCTGATTCTTTGTCTCAGAGCAGTCATCTTGTCTCTTTGTACCACAGGGGCTCTCTGTCTCAGCTAAGGCTCTTAGAATCCGTTTAAAGGGCCCAGAGTAAATCCCGGCTGGCTGTGTATTTGTTCTAGTGTCAAGCTCTGGAGCCACATGACTTGGCTCTGCTCAGCTAAGAAACCAGTTCTCACCCCTATTATTATTGTGTATGTGTAATCCATCCAAGAGCTTTTTAAATTAATAGTGGATTCTCGACCCACATTGGATGCCATAGTGTGTAGTTTTTGCTACCCAGCTTTAAGCTCCAGGTGGACTGAGCTACCAGCACCGCCCAGGTTCCCTCAGATCCGCGGATGAAAGACACATACACACACGCACCCTAGCTTTTTCTTTTATAAGAATTATTTATTATTTTATGTCTATGGGTATATTGTTGCTATCTTCAGACACACCAGGAGAGGGCATTAGATCCCATCACAGATGGTTGTGAGCCACCATGTGGTTGCTGGGAATTGAACTCAGGACCTCTAGAAGAGCAGCCAGGGCTCTTAACTGCTGAGCCATCTCTCCAGGCCCCAGTTTATTTTTAATATGTCTTATTTAGCTCAATGGCCAGGGTCTTTTAAGCCTTCCTTGGCTATTGCACCCTTCTCTTCACGCCCTGCTCAGTACCCTAAATCTGTCTTCAACTTTAGTTGCTGTTACCTTTAGTCCCAGCTTAACACCCTAAGTCTGCCCTCAGCTTAGTTATGTTTCTAACCTCTTGCCTGCTAACCCAGGCCCAGTCAGGGACGTGGCCAATGGCCTAGATCTCACATGGCTGATGGCTTTTTCTCCCTCCGTAGTATGGTAAATCTTTTCCATTCT